CACACGCACGCACACCCCCTGGGCCTCGAAGGATTTTATCCTTGGATCAAATTGCGAAGAGGAAATCTCCTCCGCTCAACCCTTAGAGAAAACATTCTTTGCCCCCATGCTTTGCCTTGGATGTCCCAAGTGCCCAAACTGAAGCCCCCACCCCGCCCCGCCTCTCCTTCCTCAACTGCCCCCACCCCTCCCTTGGGCGGGGGGTGGGTGGGGGTGAGCCTCCCCCTCCTGCCCCAAGCACAGGCGGCCACGTCTTCAGCTTCTGCGAAGGAGGGACGGGCTGTGTGTGCGCTCGACACACCCTCTCCACCCCAAAAGACTGCAAGGGGGGGGAGCAAGTCAGACCTGTGGCTTGTGACGGCCCCTGGGTGGAGGTGGTGGGGGGCTGGGGCTCTCAGCAGCCACCCAAGAGAAGGGAGAGGCGCCCCTTTGAGCCCCGTGTGCGTGTCCTGGGTGGGTGGGCGGGGCCTCCTTGGCTGATGTGGCTCAAACGGCAGCTGCCAGGTCTCCACACCAAAGGGCGACCGGTCACGAGGCCCGGCCTGCCCCCACATTGGAGGGCTTCGCTCCAGAGCCGCGCTCTTCAGTCGCGCTCCGTTGTCCTTCCCTCGCCGACCTGCCCGCTCCCATCCCTGACGGGTTGGCCTGAGCGAGGACGGGCGCCCGCCAAGACCGGCCCGCGGGCCCGTCACCTGCGGAGTGCAGGCACCTGTCGCGGTAATCCCCCCCGGGAGGCTAACGGAGGGTCCCCGTGGAGACAACAAACCCCCTCCCCACTCCCCACCACCGTCTGGGCTCCTCCCTTCCCCTTGCAGCCAGGCCGGCCTCTGCGGAGGACTTTGGCCACCCGAGATCGAGGCGCGTAGGAGGGGAGGCTGCCCACGGGAGGGGCCCTTCCTAGGGCCAAGGCAGGGTTTGGGTGGCGGGACTGTGGGGCAGGAGGTAGCCAAGCTGCCACGGGTCAAAGCCAGCCCCTTCCTTGTGGTGCTGCCAGCCCAGGAGACAAACATGCTCAGGTGTCCGGCTCAGTTTTCAGCTGCTAATCCATGGGGAGGAAGGGAGGGAAGAAAGGAGGGAGGGGATTCCTCTCCTGACCGATCCGTGATGACAGCAAGGATGCTGGCGCTGCTGGAGCCTTTTCCCTGCCTAGCCTCGCTGTGGGGGGGGGAGGCAACAGCTGCTACCCCCCCTTCCCCCTCCCCCCCTTGCCTGAGAAGCGTCTACTTTGACCCCCCATCCTGGGCGGATGTCCGAGGCCTCAAAGGGGGGACCCCCGTCTCTCTCTCTCTCCTTTGAAAGACAGTGCCGGGCCAAGAGGGGGGGCACTTCCCTTGGCACCTGCTGGGAGGCCCACTACACACACACATACCACACACACACACATACCACACACACACACACACACACACGTTTTGTCTCACTTACTGGCCCCCTCACCCAGGCCCGGTTTATTTCTGACCCGAGTTCTTTAAATAGCCCAACAGCTGCCGGGCAAGGGGCCTACAGAGAGGAAGTGAGGAGGGGAGGGGTCCAAACACCCCCCCCACCCTGCTTGGGGGGCTCCCGTCCCCCCCCCGCCCCAAAGGGGCCCGACCCCAGCGAAACCCCCCCCCCCCCCGGGATGAGCGGTGGGAGGGAGTTGGCGCTAACGGTGCTTCGAGCTTCCAGCTACCTACTACAACCCTGCTCCCTGCGGGAATCCAACCCCCCCTCGTCCCCCCCTGAACCCCTTGACCCCAGGCCGTGCAAAACTCTACCTGGAAGATGGCTTAGCCGCCCCCCCCCAAAAAAACACCCCTGGCTGCATCCGCCCTTCCCAGTATCCTACGGCAGGCGGGAATTCTCTCCCCGTCACCCCAGCGGTTCCGGCTAGAAATGCAGCTTTGGACCGATCCTTCAGGCGGGCGGGGGGGGGGGGGATCCTGTTCACTCTGATCCTGTCCAGCGGCAGCCAAAAAAGCCCCCCCACCTCCCCCACCTCACACCGCGGAGAAGCCCCTCCCCACAGCAGTCCCGCTTCCTGGCCTCGCCAACCGCCTTCGTCCGGGACTCCCAGGCTAAAAGAGGCCGTAGCTCAACCGGTGTGGAGCATTCTTTGCAAGCAACCTTTGGGGTGCGGGGGGGGCAAGGGGGGGGGGGCGCTCTCTCCACCGGTTCCCATGCCCCCTTTTCCAGGGCTCCGGCAACCGAGGACGTCTAGAGAGAGGCCCGCGGACGAAGACGCGGAAGGGACCCCCCGCCTGTCTACGGAAACGCGCTCCGCCGTTTGGGTAGGCTGACTCCACAAGGCCTGCTTTGATTCTCGGGGAGGGGGGGGAGGTAAAACATGCCTCTCCCCCCCCCCCCCCCCTCTG